GCCCTGAGCGGTCCCTGTGTGCCGGCGCGCGGGGAACGCGGCGGCGGGTAGTGCGTCACGCCGTCACGTTACGTTACGTTACGTCATGGCGGCGCGCGGCTCCGAGGCGGAAGTGGTCAGTGAGCGCGGCCCTGAGGGAGGCGCCCATGGCGAAGGGCCTTGCGTCGGTCTGGCACCCATGGCGGGGCATGGTCCGCCTCCCTGGCGTTGCTGCGGGCAGCCCCGCCTGCCTCGCACCGGGTAGGGGTAGGGTGAAGCACCGGGGCCCGTCCTGGAGCCGCGAGCGGGGCGCTTCCTGAAGGGCGGCCAAGCAGGGCTCTGGGGGCCGCGGTAGTTGTACTTAAGACGCTCGTAAGAGTCGGAGCGTGGGCTTTTTCTCATCGCTTAGTCCCCGTTTCCTGGTGGGCCGCTTATTGTTGAAATTCTGAAAGACAATGGGCAGAAACTAGGAAGTTTTGGTGATTTCTGGCCCTGCCGACTTCTCATGGGCTATTTCATTAACGAAGCTTTGTCTCTTGAACAGTCACATCTTTGCAGCAAGCCGGCACTCTGCTCTTGATGAGGTAATGTCAGCAATGTCTGCTAGCTGTAGACCTATCCTTTCCACCTCACAAGAGCTCTTGTTAATCAAGGAGGCAAGTTTAAAAGAAAAGCTAGGAGGTCATAATCTCAAAAGACCTCAAGGACAGAGGAGGCATTCCCCCCTAAAGATAATTATTTACAAAGTTAATTGCCAGTCTATCTGTGAGAGAAGGGCTTTAAATCAGCCGTTGCACAGAAACTGCGATGTGAAACAAATTCATTGAAGGAAGCTTGGCAGATACCAAGGTGAAAGCTGACTTAACTGCCTTAAGAACATCAGTGTAAGTGCTCTTAAAATTGTATAACACAGTCATATTTATGCAGAAGAACTTGAAGTAATTTGATATTAGCACACTGCGTTCCTGTCTGCTTGATCTTCCAAAAGTTACCTGCTTAAACCACAGAAATGTATGAAAAGAGGGTGGAATAAAAATGTAATTCTTTCTTATAAAGCTTGACCACTCCCTCCCCACCCCCCCAGCCAAAGAAAAGGGAGCATATAACACTTATTTGGCCAATTTGTGGAATAACGTTTTTCTGCTCAGTACTGAAGAATTTTGATTTGGTGGTTATTCAAGAGTGAAATACAATTATGTCTATCAATTTGTCTTGATAGATAAGCTGTCCTGTTCTCTGATTTCTTAGAGAATAGTGATTTTTGTGTTATGAGTGAAATTTGTTGTTTCTTATGGGCTATTTCTTCCATGTCACAACAGACTTGGTTTTGAAGATATTTGATACATGAAAATAATTTCCAGAAAACTGCCTTTCTGGTTCATCAGTGTAATTTTTCATCTAGGAACCAATTCCTTGTAAGTGCTTAAAGCAAGGCTGGTGAAACTTCTAATTAGATAATATGTGTATTATTCTAGACCTACAGGGTGTCAGCTGTCTTAGTGGCCTGGTTGAAATTTTGTTCTAGTTGTTTGGGTTTTGTTTCAAGTATATTTTTATTCTAATTTTAGCTGCTTCTGGTTTTGGGATTGCCTTCCTTAGTTTCATAAAATGATAAAGGTGATTCTGAATGATGATGGCACCGATATCCTCCTTGTCTAATAGAATGAGTTAGTAAAGAGCAAAATAAGTGATGCCTAATGTCATTAAGACTTTTGTTCCTTACCTCCAATAGTTCCTCACCCCACATAATAAAATCATGTACTATCTCTTAAACTGGTGTTGTTCTTGATTTCTGTAATTCCATGCATGGAATGGACCTCAGGCAAAACCCCAGCTGCTGAAAATACAGCTAGTGCCTAATCCCTTTCTGTCAAGTCTTGCTGTGATAGCTTGAATAAACTGCAAGTCTTATACACGGTCTTAACTCTAATGTGTCAGAGAAAATTGAAAGGAGCACTAAGGTACAGAAAGAAAATAGAATTTTAAATTCTTACTGGTATGTTGTCCCTTACCTCTTCGGCCCTAGTAGCTTGCCTTGTATTGCAGTTAAATGTGAACTTTTTCACAACTGTGTGATAATGAAGATGTTCATGTTTTGGTGTGGATCTCACAAGGGGCAGTATTACTTACAAAACCGGTGTGTAAATGATAGTGTATGTTTCAAAGTAACTTTGAAAATGTTTCCTTGTGCTAAATTTAGAGTTTAGGTAAAACGGTGTTAGTTTAACTCAAGTTTTGTCTCTCTGTAACTTAAATCTGGGCCTCAAGCAAAAGTCTACTGGCTTGAGTTCAGTAGTGTTGTAAATTTATGTTAGTTGACCCATTTGGCCGGCTGATTTGGAGTTTTCTTGTTGATAGTATGGGAGCAAATAATGGGGATGCAGCAGCTAAGCTTACAACTATTTAGTTGCCAATTCCTTTTGTGTAGGTCAAATGATTTAGAATGTGGCTGTTCCCTTCCTTCTGAAGCTGCATCATCCTGAGTGGAGTAGCTCAAGGCTTCTAGCCCGAGGTAACTGGAGCAGTGAAGACATGATTACAGGCCTGTCTGCTTGGGAAGGCCGCACTTTAATTTTCAGATGGTTTGTCATATCAAAGCTACAGGACATTGCTAATATGTAGTATGCTTAGTGATTCATGCTTAGTTCAGTAACTGACATGAAATTTAATGGCAAGCTATGAGTTAACAAGTGAACTATTGTGAATTATATTGCTCTGTGAGTGTTGGAGAAATTGAAAACAAATCTGAAACAACATGAATTGAAAACTACTGTTTCTGTAGTTCAGTGGTACTTAAATAGTTCTGCTTGGGAAAAATAGGAAAAAAAATATATATTATTTAGGGAAAAAAAAAAGAAAGAAAATGATGTCTTAAAACAAAGAGATGTTGAACCTTAAAGTCTTCCAAGCCGAGATCTTGGCAAACCATAAAGTGGAGCAAACTTGAAAGGAAACTGCTTTCGCAGAGTTGGGGCAGTAGTTATCAAACAGAGCTTACATACCTGTCTTCCAGGGGATTTTAGCTGCCACAGCAGATTATTTTTTTTAGTACTAATTATGAAATTGCAAGGTTTGTGTAACTCTTTTAGTGCAACTCTATAACCACTAAAAACATTGTTCAGAAACTTTTCTTCAAAAGGATTCACTCAGACATAATTGTCTGCTCAGTGCTAGAGAGAATGATTACAGCTCTGTGACTTGAACTGCCCTATTAATTTCTGTGTGTTAATGGTGAATCTCAAGCTTCCTGAATGCAGAAGATGCTGGGAATTGTCCTCCCCACCCTGTCATAACATTATTGGAGGCTGTGGGCTGTGTCACCCCTCCTCTAAGATGGATTTCAGCATATGCAGGGTGAAGACATGTTGACCTGAAAACTGACAGACTCTGTCTTGCTATTGGCCAGGGTGATGGTGGACACTGCTGTTTCCTCAGCAGAGAGTTCTGCAGTACCTGAGTACCCCTATAGAGCCCATAACCTCTCCTTTTATATTTCTAAATTGACAACATCGCCGGAATTCTGTGAACTAAAAAAAGAAGGTACTATAAATTTCTATTCCCATAGGCCACAATTAAGAATAAAATTCATCTTTCTGCTAAACTAGTTTTGCTCCCCATTTGATATCCGCTGGTTTAGAGTGAGGTGTGTCTCACTAGTTGGTTGCATCCATGGCAAAGATGAGGAAGGAAGCGAAACCCAAGCTAACAAGCTTTGTGGAGCTTCTTTTTCTCGAGCTCTGCTCTGGTGCTGTTGGAGTTTGTAGCGAAGAGTGAAGAAAGCAGCTGGGGGGATTTGGGTGGTGAGGAGAAGGCAATAGTGCTCGGCTCAGAACAGTATCCTGTATGGACCTTTCAGCTGGGAGGAACTGTGTGTGAAACTCTTTGAATGGTTACGTGACTGGTAGGAGCTGTGGCATCAGATGTTGCCTGAGTAACAGGTTTGTTCCTGGGCATTTTCTTACTTTGATCACTGTGTCCGTGTGCAGCCCAGCACTACAGAGAGCCTTTCTTTGCTCTAAATACATGGTTTACAGGTGCTGCAGAGGAGACTGGAGCTGTGAGCCGCTTGCTCATTACGTGAGACCCAGTCAGACTGCTCTGTGGGGTTTGGAATACAGAAAACCTGGACACATCAAAATGATGCGGCCTGGGTATTGGATCTGTTGCCACTTCTATGTTGCTGAATCCAGTAGTGGTCTTGTTTGTCATCAGTGGAGAGGAGATGGCTTATTTTGTTCTAGTTCTGCCTTGTTTTCAACTCATGCTTTCAGCTGCCATCTTTCCCATTTGACTGCTGTAGGCAATCTGTGCAGGAGAGGAGGGTAGGCATGCGCTGTGTGTGCGTTATTCCAGTTGCCAATGTCTGAGGTGCTGGTGATTATCATCCCAGTAGAGGTTTACAATATGGAAAGTGCAGAGAGGGTCATGTGTCATGAGAGGTGTCTAGATTACAGGAGCAGAAATGTGAGTTATGACAGCTATAGCAAAAGATGAAATTCTGTGTCCCCTGGTACCCAGTGAATTGGGCTTCCTGATCACAGTCTGTTATGAAATTCAAAGGAAGGGAACTGGTGACATGCAGTCATAAAAGCTGTGGGTGTAATGCAATGAAAGGAAGTTTCTTTTTTGGAGAGTAGAGAAATTTGTCAGGTTTTAAAATTAGTTTATTTAAGGAGTGAAACTAAATTAGAAAATTATTGTATAAGCAGAGAACAAAGGTGAATGGATTAGTGAATAACTAGGGTGAATAGTAGGCGGTGTAGTTGCAGTAATGTCTTTTAATGGTGTAATAAGATGTGAAAATTATGGATTGAATTCTATCCTCCTCAGCATCGATTCATTTCCTTGAATTGGCTATCATTTAATGCTATTTAACACAGTATTGACTTGTTTATTTTTTTGTAAGCAGCTTTTCAACTTTCCAAGAAAAGTATAAATAATCCACATGTAGACCAAACAAACTTTTTCTCAGTCTTGTTCTGTTTTTACTGCAGCATTCTTTCCCAGTGTAAGTAGTTGTTCTCTTTCTGTAACACTACTTGCTGTTGTGGATCAGTATTAGTATTCATCAACATTTATTTATATTACCTTGTGGATTCTTTGGAAAATTTACCATAATTATATGAAATCTGAAGCTGAATCTCTGTCTCTGTTTAAAACTGTATTTTAATGATGAAACATGAAGCAATGAAAGTAGTGCTGAAAGTTGTT